CTCTCTCTCTCTCTCTCTAGAAGCCCAAATGCAAAGCCTTGTCTTCAGCTTCAAGTTTCAATCGCCGCCCATTGCTCTTACTCAGGGTAGGTGGCTGTTTGCTACTTCCTCCTTCCCTCGTTAGCCTTTTCCATCTTTTTCCTCTCCTCTCACTTCTCTATCCCATCCCCTTCCCTGCATCCACCTCTTCTTCCTCTCTACTTTCCAGTCTCCTTTCGTTTTATTCACAGTTTGCCCTGAGTTTATCTCAGTTTTCTCTAAACCAGGTCTTAACTATCCCCTGAGCTTGTCTCAGATTTGGGCTTCATGCCCGTTATCTGGCGTCTTTTGCCTACGTTTATTGCTTTCTGTCTTTTACTTTTTCTTCCTCCTTCCTCCTTAGCTGTGATACTCCATCCCCATCCCATGTCTACTCAGATCAACGGATTTTGATTAGAAATTAGATACCAAATCTACTACACCCTTCACTTTTCCTTTCCCAACCGGCATGCCAAATCCCTATCAAGGCCAAATGTTAGGTGATTTACATACCCCTTCGCCTCACTCTCTGCCCATATGATCATTTGTTTGTATATATTTGTAGGGGTTCGTAAAGGAGACTTGGATCTGGTGTCTACTTGCTTGGTTCAGAGTTTGGCTTCCTCCAAGGATGTGACGGCGGTGGTGGTTTGGTTTATGTAGATTGAGATTAAGGTTTTTTTTTTTTTTTTGTTGTTGTTGTTGTTGTTGTTGTAGCCTTCAGGCCTAAGTTTGCGAGGATCTCCCATGTATCTTGAGTTGCAACTCTCATTTTGCTTGAACCTTTTACCTTATCTGTTATTTGTTTATCGGGTTCCTTTTGGACCTTGTACTAGTTTTTTTAATGTAAAGAAACTTCTATTGACTAAAAGAAAAAAAGAAAAATCTTCTAACGACTAGCTAGCTACGGTGATGGACGTTGTCTCGAAGAAGCTTCTAAACAGACCTGACTTTTTATTGCATCAGGCATCAATTCTCGATAAACACACACACCCGTATCTATTTATACAGGGACTTTTCTTCAATTATTATTTTCACGGTAACATTCTTCAATTATTTTATTTAAAAATGAATTAAATTGTTGACGTCGCATGCATGGTTGACTGGAGAATTTGAAATCAGTTTTGGCCATTTAAAAAGGATTTGGATCCTCGGTGGATCCCTTCCCTTGAGATCTTAAAGATCAACGCACATGGACCATTGATCAACGATCGCGTGGTCATAATTTTTTTCTTTTTTATATTTTTCATGCAAAACGAGGTAACTTTACTTTTAAAAATATAAAAATATTTAATTGTAGGCCGTACGATTTTTCATCAACGATCCATGTGCGTTGATCCCTAGATCCCCAGGGAGGGGATCCGGCTAGAATCCAAATCCATTTAAAAACTATAGGGGCTTCTACTTCAACCGTCTGTTTTGTGTCCCTGTCACATTATATGCACTGTACTTTCTTCTTTCCCGTCTGTGGTGTGCTGGTGCTGGCGTGCGGACCACATTTGATTTTCTGAGTTACTACTTATGGTCTGATGCTCAAGCTTTCTTGAAAGTATACATGGAGAAAAAATTTCTATGTTGCTAAAATTTCTAAAATGCACATGCAACATCGCAATTCGGCGATTCTATTAGTAGGTGGTGACAGAATAAGACAACTTGAGACCATGGATGGAGTTGGCTTAAATACTATTTTAGTTGCTTGTGACATAATTATTAACTCTTTGATGCACTATTGCCATCGTTGGAAGAGCATATTCAGCCATAAAATTTCTGTTAAGAAATTTGATGGGAGATCAATGGATAAATCATAACATGATTAAATGAAGTTGTCATTCAACGTTTGAAAATATGAAACGCGTCAAGGGATATTGTAATAAGTTGTATAAAAAACCTTATGGATTAATATATAAGTGTTTTGTTGAGTACATTCTTGAACTTTTTAATTTGTGACTTTGTTATTTGAGGATACCCCATCCATGCAGATCTCTAACTTCGTCCTTGCTCGAGATACAAAGAAAACGCGCAGGATCAATGTAAAGAAAGGATATACTGAAATATATTAAGAATAAAGTGAGATTTGTGAAATACATAATACATTTTAACCAACGAAAATAAGATATATTTTATGTGTGTATGTGTGTGAACACACTTGCACAAATTTTCGTTTTTCTTCCTTTTGTGCTTATCTTCTTGTCAAGATCTTGCACAATTACAGATATGGAATTTTGGACTGTACATTTGTACTAGTAAGACTAAGACCATATCATATCATCGAAATATAGATAGTTGATTTTCCGAGCAATTTAAAAAAGGGTCCAATTCCTTAACCTAGCTTTGTTATAAATGCAGTAACACCTAATAGGGAGTTGCGGTCCAACCATTTAAAACGTATGCCATATAGATATATAATAGGTTTTCATATCGTCTTAATTTTACCTTCATACCATTAGCCCCAAAAAATAGCCTCCGTTCCTCATTGTCAATGACAGAACAAGAAAACCTAACAATGTCCGTAGTGATAAATGATATTTTTTTGGCTATTTGAGGTGAATTTGCAAAAATCGTTAAGGTCGTGTAGATTTTTGGATACAAGTTGTTTGGTTAGTTGAGTGAAAACTTGTTATCCAATTTCTATATGTTTCAATGAACCTAATATGCAGATAACCTTTCTGATATAGAGGCAAGATGATTTAAAAAACTTATTCATGTGCATTATAATGTTAATGAATCTGCGTTGAAGGGCGGTGGACCTTTAGTATAAGTTTATTATGTGGATCAACCTCTTCATGTGGGTCCTAATGTTAAGTACCTATAAGTGAAGGGGATGGTGGGTCTCCAGGGTTAGTTGATGATGTGACCTGATGTAAATATGAGAATTGCAACAGCAAAATCAATAAAAAGTTTGTATATACAAGGCATATATTAATGCCTCAAAACAAATAAAGAATAAAAGTGAAATTCAAACGTTGTAAATAAAAAATAAGTAAATTGTCGTTTGACTTCTTTAATTGCTATTCTTAGTTGAAATTGATCTCGAACTAATTTTTTGGTACATTAACTCTTTGAATTATTTGAAATTAGTTAATTAACCTCTTACCGTCTGATTCGATGAAATTTTATCCATTTTGTCGTCAAATTAATACTAGCACATAATTCTCTATTAAGTAAAATCATGCTAATATTAACTCAGAAAATAAAACACAATTTAGTAACTTAATTTATTCTTTCCTAACAAAGAACAATACTTGGCTACTCAAAAATGAGTAGAAACTCCTACTCAAAAATTTTCAAAATTGTTCGTTGTCAATTTATAGAATTTCGTGTTTATAATCAGTACCGTTTATATTATAAATCAACCTATAAAGATCGCCTCTGTAAAAAATCAATCAAAACTAAGGTCGTTTGATCATCAAACTATTTAAAAACAAATGAACGGTATTGGTAAAAGCATTACGAACCGTGTATGTATTTGCTACAATAGGTTGACTAAACGACCTTTGTTGTAATTTATTTTTTGCAGAGATGATCTTTACAGTTGTGATTCAGAATATGAACGGTTCTGATCACAAGTACAGAGCTTTGTGATTAAAACACTAACAATTTTGAGTAAGAATTCCTACTCTTCTTTGAGTAGCCAAGTATTATTCCCTAAGAAGGGGAAATCGCGAAGTTTATTTAGTGATAAAAAGTATGAATAATAACAACTCCATAGTTACTTTCACATACAACCTCAAACCCTGTCATCATAAAAAGAGAACAGCGTATTATGAACTCAAAACGAATGTCGTGACTTGTTGATTTAAAAATTTATTATATGTATTTAGAAAATTAACATTAAGATGAAAGAAACATAATTATATCGTCCAAATGTGTCTAACTTGACAACGGCCTGATCTGTATAGAAGGGCACATAAATAAAGGTAATGCTAAGAATATCAAATTTGTAGACAAAATTTATAAAGTAAATAACGTGTCACCAATAAGAAATAAACATATTAATCAACACTTAAATAACAATTCAATCTCAACTTTTATGTTATTTAGTTTATAAATTTTGTCTATAAATTTAATCTTCCTAACATTACTTTATAAATAATTTTGTTTGATGCATTCAAATGGGTCAATATAAATTCTAGAAGAAATAGATATATATGGTAGATTTTTAAATGTCTCCTCTCATCAATAATTAGTCTTTTACCAAGCTTCTAGGTAGATCTAATTAATGGTCCCAAAGCAAGAGGAGAGGTACGTGGCGTATATTAGTCAAAGGTGTTGCCCACGCAGGTGGACTTTATACTATTGCTATATCATCCATACTACCAAATTTCAAAATATCGTACATCACATGTTTCTTTACTTATCATGATGTGTTAACCTTTTCAAGCTTACTGATGGAGGAGGATGTAGATGTAGCGTGTTCTTTGAATCGTGACGTCATTAATAATTAATATAAGATTATGAGAAGACAATGTTATACTTTAAGATACGTTAATAGTTTAAGAAATTACGATAAAGTGTAGTTCAGTGAATCGGTGAAAACAATTTTATATTTTAAAATACATTAGTAAGATGTTCCAATAGCTTGTAGTGCAGTGAATCGATTTCATGAAAGTTTTTTCTTTTATTCATGAGTTACTAGTAATGAATCCCGTCTTCACTTTGTTCAGCAAACACAATTAGTCACACATAATCAGTACGTAAGACTTGACTAAAAGGAACAAAGATAAAATTGTACTTAGGGTCAAAGGGTGGAACGGTGGAGCTCAATCGAAACCCTTCATGTATGCATGTGTGGACAGAGTTAACATACGGGCCAGCATAGCTACTTCCTTCCAAGACCTTTACGAATCAGCATATGATGACTTGACCATGGCAATGACCGCTTGAGACATTATAATTATAATATTCTTGGATTTCATTATTTAAAATTTGTGTGGGCTGAAAAAAATAAAAATTATTGTTCTATATATAACTAGCTAAGCACAGAGAACAATAAAAGAATTGAGAGAGAGAGAGAGAGAGAGAGAGAGAGAGATATGGAGGTGACAAAGGCGGTGAGATATTCATCAGAAAAGGTTCAGGATGAAGAGGAAGTGATGCTTCCAGGGTTTAGATTTTATCCAACAGATGAGGAGCTTGTTGGGTTTTATCTAAAGAGGAAGGTGGAGAAGAGAGCCATTCGTATGGAACTCATCAAACAGATTGATATCTACAAATATGATCCTTGGGATCTCCCAAGTAAGACCCCTCAAGGCTTCAGATGTTTAGTTAATTAATTTGAGTTAATTAGTTCACATGTGTACTGATGGTATATATATCTTGGCATCTTACAATACTAAAATATTTTGAAAACTAATATCTATATACAACTAGTATATATAAGCGATACAGAAATTAATATAAGAACTACGTACTGAATATTTAAAATTATAGGTCTAGGGTTCAGGTTAAATTCCGAAGTAAACTAGTGATGCGTTCTTTCAAGGTTAGTATGAGATTGAACTAGCTTAATTAGCTTATAGTAATTAGGAGACTAAGATTTTTAAAACTGGTTATCATTCTTATGCGGAGAAATATTTATGTTGTGTGAGTCGCCTATAAAGCATGACGTCAGATACTAATTAATACAAACACTTGGAGATCGCAATAAAATGCTCAAGGCTATATGAAAAATCTTGGTTATGATTAAGGAAACTTCTCAATCTAAAAAGTTTGCGCCTCTATCATGAGTAATGTTATTCATACCACCTTAAGTGACATTTGATGTGGACAGCCACATCATTTAAATTAATCATATTTTTAAATTTAGTTCATTATTTAATAAACTAATAATTAAGAAAAATTAGTTAATTAAATGATGATTGTGGTATGCGAGGAGTCTTTCTCCTTCATTTCCTTGGGTTTTGCAAATTTTTCAAATGATGTGATTGTCTACATCAGATGCCACCTAAGGTGATATAGAAATCTGATATAAAAATATGGTGAGAATAACATTACTCTTTTATCATATGCTCAAAGTTATAAAAAGTTGTGTCCCACTATTCATTAAGAAAACTTATCAATTCTAATTCTTCTTAGAATGTTAGGATTAATTAAAAGGAATAAATTTATTTCATGTTCAGTTCTCTTTTAATCATGTCAAAATGAAAAATCATTCACCTCTGCCTATATATACCAACACACACACACACACACACACACACACAACACTAGTACTCAAGCGTCAAGCGTAAACATGCATTTCGTCCATTGACTTAATGAATCTCCTTTTCCGGTAACAATGAAGAAGCTAGCAGCGTGGGGGACAATGAGTGCTACTTCTTTTGCAGAAGAGGAAGAAAATATAGGAACAGTGTAAGACCTAACAGAGTCACAGGTTCTGGATTTTGGAAAGCCACTGGGATTGACAAGCCTATAAATTCAGTTAAAGATCCCCTCGAGTGCATTGGCCTCAAGAAATCATTAGTCTACTACCGTGGGAGTGCTGGCAAAGGCACCAAAACTGATTGGATGATGAATGAGTTTCGCCTTCCTCCTAGTGGCCATGGCAAAAATGCCAAGTTCCTAAAGGCCAAAGTCGACGTTACACAAGAAGAAGCTGTAAGTTTCTTATAATTCTTATGCTTTTTATAATTATTTGAGAACCCAATCTATGTGTTAATTTTCATGCCGTGTTGACAATAGTCGAGTTGGATTAAAGAATTTGGGGAGTCTAATAACACTTTTATTTAACCATTTTTAGTATAATTACGTGAAGAGTAAATTGTAACAATGTCCCTCAACTTTAACCCAATTGGAACAATGGTTCCTCAACTAAAAATTCATTACCATTAATTGGTCCCTCAACTCATCAAAACATGCAACTATGGTCATTTTCGTCAACTCCGTTAGAACTTCCGTCAAAATGAGTCACTTTTCATGCACGTTAGGCTAAATTAAGCGGCAAATATGGAAAATTAAATAAGAAAAATTGTATCAATAGTCTCTCAATTTTAACCCAACTAGAGAAATGATCCCCCAACTTTAACACAATTGGAGCATTTGTCCCTGAACTCTAACCTAATTATAGCAATAGTCCTTCAAAAATAACTCATTTTGACGGAATTGAAGAAAATGGTCATAACTAGATGTTTTGATGAGTTGAGAAACCAATGGTAATGAATTTTTAGTTGAGGGACTATTGCTCCAATTTGATTAAAGTTGATGAATCATTTCTACAATTTACTCTTATGTGAAAGTTTAGAATTTTGTAAGCCAATCACATAGAGCCACATGTATGTAGGTTGGGGGGAGATGGCCACTTCCAGTCTGAATGTACATTCGCCACTACATGTTGATGGCTAGTGTAGTTAGAATTATTATCCTATAAATGTAGGGAAAGAATAGTATTTGCATTACCCTTGGGGGAAATCCTCTACTTGCAAATAATGCATCTTCACCGTAAAAAGTTCATAATCAGGAATCGTTCGATCTCTTAATCTTTATTTGAAGATCATCCCTGTAATAAAATCACTCTAATTGAATATTGTTCAATCTCTTAATCTTTATTTGATGAGCATCCAATCATTCGAATTTGGACATTGTTTAGTATGTCATACACCACATATATACGCGTTCATGCTATATAAATTAACTTGTCAATATATTTTCTGTATAAACACAGATTATATGTACCTTTTGTGAAGTGGAAGTCCAAATACAAACATCAATTATATATCATGACCCATGATAAGATAGTTGCTTACTGATTGTAAATATATGAAATTCCCACTTCAGCTGAGATTAAAAAAAAATTGGAATATCAGTTGCTGCGCTCCCCTAGAAGTATACTGTCCTTTGGTTTTGATGTTCTATTATGCAATTTTGCATCATACATGGAGTTGCGTATCCTTAAGTTGCCTTTTTCTTTAATTAGTACTGTCTTCTCATGCATAGAAAGTGGTCCAAAACTAATTACAACGTACAATTACGTGAATATGATTTGCAGGAGGTCTGGACACTCTGCCGAATTTTCAAACGAATCCCATCTTATAGAAAGTACACACCAGACTGCAAAGAATCCACGACCAGACAAAACCCTACTGATTCAAGTTCTAAAACATGCAGCTTCGAATCTGGGATCTACTGCAGTGAGCTACACGTCGGTCTTGAAGATTCGGTCTTTCAACGCATTGAAAGATCAAAACCAATTCATGTGGATGAACAAGTTGACGAAACAAATCACTGGCTTGGAGGGGAGTTGGACCCTATCTATGACCCAACTCCATTTGCAACAACTTATTCAAGCTTTTGGAACCCGGGCGACGGCGATTTCTTTACTAATGGAAACTGGGATGAGCTGAGACCAGTGGTTCAGCTGGCTGTTGATCCATCGTCCCAAGTTTATGACTGTAGAATGTAGATAGGCTAGGTATACTTGGAGGGCTAGTGTGCACTTGGAAGCTTCGTTAATTTCTTTCTGCTATTCCTTTCCTTTCTTTCCTGTGGGCCTTTTTTTTTCGTCTCATGGTACACAGTAGGTACATGAACTTGGTTATATACTGTAATAACATTATACCGACTGTCATATAAATAAGGGGCGCTTTGATATAAGCACCTCAAATTTGATTAAACATTTTTTTACATTTTTTCTTTTGGAAATTATTATTGGCACTTCAAAAATCTCATTCTACACTCCAAACTTTCATATTTGGAAAGAAAAAGAAAAATAAACTTATGAGGAGTGTAGAATGAGATTTTTGGAGTGCCAATAACACTTCATTTTTTTTTTTTTTTTACAATTTTATTTAGAGGTACGCTTGATTACCTATAATATAGGTACACTTGGTTTTATGGTATATTTGGATTTCTGGTACATTTTGTTTCTTAGTACATTGAGAGTCTAAACGTAGGTTTTAAATACATTTTTATGAAAGTATTAATGACTTATTAATAACCTTTTTTAATGAAGGTAGAGAATAATTAAATATAATAACAGCAATAAAAGTTACTTTTTTAGTGATAATGAAGAATTAATTAAATTAATTTAAGAAAACCACAAATTTAAAATTTCTAGATTGTAGAAAATTAGTTGTTAGCTAGCTTAAGTGGATACTAGCATATATATGGGCACAGACAAAGTGTGTGAGAAATTTTTTTATTTTTGTTTTTGAAATAGAAGGAGAGATGAAAAGAGTGATAGAGAATGTGGGAGTGGAAGGATTCTTTTTTTTTTAATTTTTTTTAATTAGAGATATGTTAGGATTACATGTAGCTAGGTGAGGCTTTGACAAAAAATAGCAAAATTTGATTGTGTGAAATTACATTTCTGCCCATATTTCTTATTTATGTTTTGTTTTAATTAAAGGGTTAAACTGGTAATTTCATAGGATTTTAGTTGACAATGAGTTTTTTATTAATTAGTAGAGATATATAAAATAAATAGAAAAATGCTGAGTTAACAATTGATCAAAGCATCTTAATCAAATTTTGTAAATGGATAGTTTGGATGCGGTCCTTAATCCCTAACATTCTTTGACTAAAACCTTAATTGTAATGAAAGTTTGATCAAAGTCCATTGACTTTGTACACCTCATTATTTTACTATTAGTATTTATATTTGAGAATTGTTACTAGCACTCCAAAAATCTCATTCTACACTCCTCACAAGTGTATTTTTCTTTCTAATTATAGAAGTTTGGAGTGCCAAATGAGATTTTTGGAGTAGCTAGTAACAATTCCCTTATATTTTTATAGTTTTGACATTAATTGTTTGATATTTTATGAGATTTATAATCCTATAAATTTAAATCCCTCATTATAATACTATTAGAAACGGCTACAAAAAAAAAAATTTCAAACCTTTTGATTGAATAAATAGATAAAACTATGTAACAATAAGAAATAATAAATGGCAAAAGAATGTTTCTATAGTGTTAAAAAAATTGATACATTTTACAAAAAAAAAAATTGGTACATTTCACATATAACAAAGGGTACATTAATAAAGAAGAATGGGTACATTATAAATAAATTAGGGTACAAATAAAAGAATAAAAAATTATGAGTACAAATGAAATTTATAAAAATATGGGCGCACAAAGAAATTAGGGGCTTTTAGATCCAGGTCCAAAAATATAGATGGTTTTTAGGAGTGAGTCCAATTACCTAATTATATGTATTTATTTTTTTAATGCTCATTTTATATCTTCTAAAAATATTAAAAATCAATTAATATCTTCTAATATTATGAATTTTCAACCCAAAAAATATAATTAATATCTTATAACAAAAAAAATAATATATTGACATAAATCTATCTGGAAATCATTCTACCCTAACTCAAGTAACAAATATATGAATGTATATCATACCTATAAGTAAGATATAAAACTTAACTAAAAGGTAGAAAAAACATAATATATCTACAAGCAAGACACATGAATCTTACTTAATTATAAAAAAGAATCTGTCATATAGGTAGATAAATATAATTAACCTGTGATATAGGTTGATTATAAAAATAAAAAAGAAAATCTATAAATGGGGTTTAAAACGGGATAAAGAACAAGAAAGAACAAAAAAAAAAAAAATCAAAGAGATAATTGGGAAGAAATTTGATTTTTATAATAAATCTTATCATTTAAGAGATAATTATTGATAATAAAATAATAAGATTTAAGGAATTGGACTATTCCTATGGCTCAAAAAATTGGACCTATATCAAGTTTCCCCAAGAAACTAAAAAGAAAATACTACAAATTAAAAAAAAAAAAAAGTCTCAAATTAAAAATGGGTACAAACGAAAAATATAAATATATGATACAAAGTTTAGCCATAAAACATAAATATACTATATGTAATTTTTCTATCATTGATTAATTATACGATGACTTTAAAAAATATGGGCACACAAAGAAATTAATATATGGGTACAAATTAAAACTGAAAGGAAAACTGGTACCAATTAAAAAAGATTTGCAAATTAAAAATGGCTACAAACTAAATATAAAAATATGTGATAAAAAATTTAGCCATAAGTATAAATATACTAATTGTAACATTTTTAACACTAAATGAATATATTTAGAAGTAAAAAATATTTTATTATTGAAATAATTAATGATGTTATTAATACCCAAGGACCTTGATCAAAAATTGAAAAAGAATAAGGTTTTAATTAATGAGTATCAAAATAAAGGATGTGAACCTAATTTCTCATTTTGTAAACCAACATATGTTTAGTCTAAACAAGTTGGAAAAAATGCAAGGGATTCCAATTAATCCTATAAATAAAGAGTAATCCTACACTTACCCTCTATTTGTACAATCTCTCTAATAAAGGGGCACACAACACATTTGGAGTTTCATCTCTATTAAAGAGATAGTACAAAGTAGATAATAAGAATAATATTTTCATAAATAAATAAGAATGTATATATACTTTTCCACCTATATAATTTGTCAAATCAAATACTTGATTGTTCAATAAAACTGAATGAAGTTTTCCATACAAGTTAGTTTAAGTTTACAAGTCAATGTTCTGATCAACAGTTACTTTCGAGATAGATTCAAACTTGAGCACAAGATCTATATTCATTAGTACTATCATAGCAATATATCCATGTTGCCACCCTCCGTTTTGGCTAATATTTAAGAGCATGATGATCCCCATTACTTGAATGGAAGGATCGAGTTGATCGAACTGGATGCCTCACGATCACCCTTTTCAGATAGGGGGCTCATGAAAGAATGAACAGCTGCAAGAAAGGATCTGTAGTTCGTACGATTCATGTGAAGTCACGTGATTATACTTCGATAAACAAGGGAGGGAATAGAAACCATGTTGAATTTCAAGTTTTCTGCAGCACCTTAGGCAGTGTACGTAGCCCCGGTTTTTCAGAGTCCCGCAGTTTTCAGGTCAAAACTAAATTACAATCCGTGAAATTTTCCAATTCGTTTACTTGGTGGAGGACTCAGGAGGACAAAGGAGCATGCATGCCGTGATTGGATTGGGCCTTTGTTTGTTAGGCCAGTGCTTTGGCTCACTCAATTTTAGCCCATATTTAAGTGACTGTGTGTGCCAATTTTGGTGTAATTTTTATGTGAGTTTGAGGATTTGAATTTAAGTGCCAAATTTTTATGTAACTTCGAATTAAATGGAATAATAAATAAGTTAAGTTCAAGTTAAAACTTGAAGTAGAAAGCAACTAGTGAAATTAAAAAGTTACATCCAAAAACCAAAATAACAAGTTACAAATTATAACCCAAATAAAATAATAAGTTACAAACAAAAAAATAACACTAATATATTATATACTCGTAATAAGAAGAAGAATGATGATGATGATGATGATGATGATGATGATGATGAAGTAGTAATAATAATAATAATAATAATAATAATTTTGGTTCTGTTTTGATAAAACCAAACCTACCAAGTTTGCTTATTAAAACTGGACCGAAAAGTTTAGTAATTTTTAGTTTATGTAAATTTTAAGTTCGGTTCAATTTTGGTATTTAGTTCAGAAAATGCATGTCCTAATTGTACCATGTAATGCGAAAAGAAAAAAAAAATCATGCAAATGGCTTCTAGCTCAACTGGTTAAAAACATTCACACTATGTCCCAAGGTCCCCAGTTTCATTTTTCTCCCTCAATATCGTATGTGTGTGTGTGTGTGTATATATATGTATATATATCATGGAACGATTCTCAGAAAAGAGAAGACAAAGAAAGGTAATAGATTAAATGAAGCTAGCAAGTTGGAACAAAATTCAGATGTCATGCATAAATTTGAGGGAGAACGGGACAAGCTCCACACATAAAATTTCCATCTCAGTATAAGATCTCTGATAAAAGGGATTGGAGTACAACATTATATGGAGAAAATCAGGAGGATTCTTTTATGTGCTCAGCCAGATCACATGGAACTCATTACACACAAAGATTCTCGACACAACGCGCCGGTTGATAAACCCTCGTATGATTGAATCTTTGCCACATTAGAAAGCTCCTTCTTCAGGCTGATTTAAGAAGGGAAATAATAATTTTATTGGAGCAGTGCTTTAAAAGAGAGTTTCTGGGTTGCACCAATCTTGCCAATGCAACCTTCGCCATGTCATTCATTTAATTACATAAAACTACCTCAACTATTGAGTCAATCACAGTTTCATACATTATCTTTAAAACATTTCAATATCATACCTTATATTCGAATTTGTTGCAATGTCATACCTTAAATATTGCTATTAAAAAGTAATTAAATATTTAAAAACTAAAAAATAAAATCATTTAATTATTTTAATTAAATGAGGACCCACCCCTACAAACCCATCACCCATTCACCCATGTCTCCTCCTCCTCCTCCACAAAACTACCTCACTTTCTTCTCCAGTTCACTCGCGTCCCGCCGCCGCTATCTTCCTCCTCAAACCCTCCTTAGCAACCACCACCACTATTACCCAACGACGTCGTCATACTCCTCCTCCTCCTCAGCTCAAACATAATGGGCAAAAAAAAAAACTATCCTCTTCCCACCCTAAATCCACCACCATGAACTTGAGCCGAGCTCTCCGACCTCGTGCGCTGGAAGCTCGCCTATGCAAATGGCTACCATTGTTGCCGCAGTTTGA